CAAAGTCCTCCATCTCTTTTTCTATATCCCCTGTTATCAATGAACAGGAATCCTCTATGAGTGTTCCTGTTCATTCATAACTTGAGAACATTGTATGTTTACTATAACCACAATCATGAATAAACAGGAGGTTATTTAGCTCACTTCCCACTCATTCATAATTGAGGATATAGTACAAATGTCCTCAATTATCTGCAAACACTCAGCGATCACTGATAACTGAGTGTTTGTACCTCGCTCTCCTCTCTGACACGCTGTCACAGGAGGCTGAGCGAGCGGTGCAGGGCTGTCACTTTCTCTCCTCCCCGCTGGGACACAGAGCGGCGCCCAGAGGGGGGGAAAGAAATAACGGATGCGCTGATGTATTTAGCCAAAAGTGCAATTTTTGGCCGCTATGTTTCGTCAGCCGATATATCGGTGCATCCCTAATATATTTGTCCCATTTTCTATAGCAGTTCTTTAAATTTTGGCTTAATTGGAGTTTATTTACACATCTGAAGAGCAGTGACATGGCAGCTCCTTTTTCTGGACATATCAAATATTCTTCTCCATTGGTGTGCTTACACCTATGTATTCTTTAAGTTCACACGCTTGGAGCTGGTTGAGAGATTTCATCTCTTCATTAGCATCTTTAATCCACATTTGCTTCTCATGAACAGGTAGTTTTTGCATTTCTTCCCATGACAGTGGAGCAGGCTATGATGCTGTACCAACCGTTTATGACTAGAGTCTAAATGGGATGCACAGGTTGCAGATGGTTCAGCTTCTTCCTTTTTAGAGGATAAATAACTGACACCAATTTCAGTGATGTTCCGTAACCCTTTTGTGACTCACTGTAGCCCACAAATATACCTTCCTTAGCACAAGGTTCCCATTTTCTATGCTTTTCTCTAGGAACATTTATGTATGATTTACATCCAAAGATTTGAATGTTTTTTCGGTCTGGCTTCCTGTCATTCCATAGCTCAAAGGGAGTTTTTTCTGTTGCTTTTCCATGTATGCAGTTTTAGCAGGCTATTATAATTACATAGTTACATAGTTACATAGTATTTGAGGTTGAATAAAGACATTAGTCCATCAAGTCCAACCTATTAGGATCTCATTCTAGGAGTACCTGTACCCCTGTATATTACCTGTACCCCTGTATATTACGGTCCCTTAAGAAATCGTCCAAAAGTATCTTGAACAATTCCACATTATTTGCTGAAATCACCGCCTGTGGCAGTGAGTTCCAGACCCTAACTGATCTTACTGTGAAGAACCCCCTTCGCCCCTTGTGCTGGAATTTTTTTTCCACCAATTTTAGGTGGTGGCCTCTAGTTTTTGTAACGGAGTTAATTTTAAACAGTTTATCGCTAATGTTGCTACCACCATTTGGTTATCCGGAATTGCTTTTCCCCAGTATGTTGTTGGCATATCCACATCAAAAAACATGATTCTACCACTCTCACATAAGTGAGGGTCATTCTCTCTACAACACCATTTTGTCCTGGAATGTGTGGTAGAGTACATAACGTCATTTAAGGAAACCTGTACTGAGGGAAATATGTAGGCTGCTTTCCTGGCAACGCTAGCTGACTAGCTTTCTTAGCCACCAAAATGGAGCAAGTATGCACATCAGGAAAGTAAGAGTAAAGTCAGAACTTCTTATTTGTATACTTGTTCCAAGTGAGTGCCTTAAAAAGTAGTGTAGCCACTTTACACAGAGAGATTTAGCATTTGTATTCTTGTCAACGTTTGTACAGAAAAATTTACTAAACATTGGCCTTTCTAGGAGGGAGAAGATGTCCCAAAAAAGTGAAAGTAGGATAGCAGAGGCACTATCCTACTTCCATTTTTTGGGGTCATCTTCTCCCTCCTGTCAGAACACATCGGGTTCTTTCAGCAATGAAGCTCTGAATTATCCAATACACACCCCAACAAGCATTGAGTGAGACCTCTGCATGGGGACAGAAATATTCTATCCTATCGGGACGTCCTCCAACCATACCTGTGTGAGTATTAGTGACTTATCCCTCATCACTTACCCAAATTATCTTGATTGACCATACTATTACACTACCACAACTACTACACTCAGTCGGACCTCTCTTGGGAATTTTGTCCTCATCTTTCTTCTCCTATTTTATTCTGGAGTTTATCTTTCAAGATTGGCCTTTCTAAGCAATGATGAACAATGGTAGTGGTAATACCAGCATTCTTCAGATAGCCTCCATATGTGTCCATATGCAAATTTCTCCTCCTCCAAGCATACTTCCTTTCACTGTGGTAGTAACTGGCTTGCTTTTCTTCAATTTCCAGCTGTTATTTACCCATGTGGACACTGTAGATCTGTTACATACTGCTGTAGCTTTGAATGTTTCTCAGTATTACTCAATGTTTTTCCAGAGAGGTATACTGGATAAACTGAGCACAGAGTGCAATACAGAAGATTGACACACCCAGAAATGTTAGTTTCTGAAGAGACTTTAGCCATTTATGTTTATTGATTAGAGTAGTATTTAGCAGCACAGCCAGCAAGAGAAGAAAATCATTGCTTCATTTGGATTATATCGACAGGGTTGATTTAACAAGCAGTTAATGAGTAAAAAAAAAAAAAAATGACCTCTGTAGTTGCAGGCACTGTGGAGACAATCAAGCTACCTGCAGATGCCCTAAAGTAATTATCTGAGGTGGCCCTGCTCATCCTGTTCCTTCTCCTAGAACATCTGCTCTGTGTTTTACAGATCAAAAGGCTATGTATACAGATTAGTAAACAGTAGGTAAGGATGCTAAGTCACTATTGGAAGGGGAACAACTTCAGTGTTTCTGCTGTGAACTTTATGTAATAATTGCTAATTGATACAGAGATCAGTGATAGAGTGTCACACTCTCCTAGTCACTCATGGCCTGCTGCTGATAGCTCAATCTGCTTGCTGCTGATGGTCCAGCTCCAACAAAAGTGCTGTGACACACCTTTTGTGATGCCGTGGCAGTTTAGCAATGAACCATATTATATGTTGTAATACAATAAAGGAACTTTTTCTGAGGCTGTGAAATCTCCCGAATAATTTCTTTGACACATTAATGTGTCAGACGTGCTTATGGACTGGCAGCATGGAGAGGAACCCACTGGCAGGAAGTGGCCTGAAAGTCAGAGCGCAAGGTACAAAAGGGGCAATCCAAGGGGGTAGTCAATGGTCCGGGTGGCCAATCCGGGTGGAGGCGGGCAGCAGAGGTTCAGAAGCAATAATCCGTCCAAGGGGTCAGCAAAAAGGAAGTCCAGATGAGGGGTCAGGGAGCAACAGCAAGATTCACAGATAGAGAGGCTAGGCGATCACACCATAGGGTGGAATAACTCAGCAACAAGCCAGGGCTCTGACCAGGATTTTAAAGCCATTGGATGTAAGACTACCCCCTGCGGTTATCAGGGCAACCAGGAGGCTTCCCTCCCCTCCCCGGGAAACAATGGCAGGCAAAAGGGGTGGAAGGTGCATGCTGGGAACCTCCTCCAGCAAGGCCCACACCTTATAGTCCTAATTGGTGCATGCACGCTACGCGTGGGCCCCCGGGCACGCGCATGCAGCCTGTATACCGCGCGCTTCCGCATTTCACGCATGCGCACCTGCAACCCCGGCGCCACGGGTTCTACCAGACTGGAGGAGACCCCGTGCCCTTCACCGTACCCGATGGCCCCGAGGAGAGGTAACACCCCTGGTTTCCGGACATAATGCTGGTCACCTCTACAACACAAAGCCGACATGGATTTTTGAAATAAAAATAAAAAGTGTGCTTTGTTTATTTCTTTCAGATGTGTGGTTATCCAACCACAGAATCAAGGATTGGGTGAGTGTATCTTCTTTATTATTGCCCCTAGAGAAACTGAACCCTTGCTGTTCGGGGATAGCCCCATTGCAAGGGTTAACTTTTTGTATACCTGGAGTCCTTCTTTAATGTTAATTGTCAGGGGTTCAGAGATAACTTTGTGGGAAGGGGTAAGTGCAAGAGACAACTTAAAAATTATAAATTATAGATAAGTTGAAGTTCATGGACATCTTGGGTCACTGCAGTTTTGACATGTTTCCAATGCCAAAAGCCCACGCTGAGAACTTCTGTCCTAGCACCACAATGTAGGTAAATCTAGAGTTTGGTGCAGCCGAGGCCAAATTTGGGAAAAAAGACAGTTTGGAGGTGATCCTAATAATATTTACACATATATTAAATGGCAAATTCACTTTTATTCCTAGGTCCTCATTAAGGAAAAGGAGACCCAGGCCTAGGACGGTGACTAAATGATTGGCACTCTTCTCCTGCACCACAACATTTTTTACTAATTGGTTTCACTGTAGGCAGTGTCCTGGTAAAGTGATAAGAACTGTGGATTTGTACCACTCGGGTCCCAGGTCCTACTTCTATGTTCCCCATGTTTGCATGGATTTTCTTGTGGGTGCTGCAGTTTCACACATTGTGTGCCTGTGGTCAGCTTCCCTCAATTCCCCGGCAACAAATACATCCTGGCACTGGCTGGATCTTTTATTCTATGTTTATAAACATTATTATTTAAACATGTTTTTCCGTTTTCAATTGTTTTGTGTCCTATTAAAAATGTTTGGCAATAATAAAAAGCATTTTTTTCAATTGTAAATAAAATACTTTGTACCAGAATACTAATTTTAGCTTTATTATAATTAGAACGAATTACAGAATAAAATGTATATTTGTAAAATAACACTACTTGTTTTTAAAACTAAAACTTGTCAAAGTAGAAAAAAGCGCATTTGTTTTTACTTTTGTTAATTGTTTTTTTTTTATAGAGTGCATAGAAAATAAATATTTTTTTAATGACTTTATCACCAAAGGAAAGACTTGTTTGTCCCCAAGAAAAAATGACATATGTATAACTTCATTATTTTAAGGAATGATGCAGTTATTGCTGAATCAGTAGGCCCAGAGCAAAAATTAAACTGGTCCAAAAGAAGTATACTGGTGCGAGAGCTGAACTGATTAGAGTCCTTCTTTCGTTAGAATACATGTATACGAATCTGTTTTTTTAGAAATCTTTTTATTTCCTTGTTCCTTATGCTATATAATAATGGGTTGATAAATGGGGTAAGTACAGTATACAATAAAGATAACAGTTTGCCATTGCTAAGGTTGTTTTCTCCAGCTGGAACCATATATATGGCTATTAATGTCCCATAATATGTACAGACAGTGACCAAATGGGAACTGCAGGTCGAAAAAGTTTTTTGTCTTCCTGTTGAGGAAGAAATTTTGAAGATGGTAAAAAATATACACATGTAAGATATGGAGATCAATACAAAAGGCCGAAAGATGATCAATATGGCAAAAGCAAAGTCCTCCCACATTACAACTGTGACATCTGAGGTTGAAATACGCAGAATAGGCGCAATATCACAGAAGAAATGGTCAATAGTGTTGGTACCACAGAACCTCAGCTGGAACAATAAAGCTATTTCACTTGGAATTAGGATTAAACCAGTAGCCCAAGAGCAGAAGACCAAGCCAAAACAGATTCTATGTTCCATCAATGAAGAGTAACGCAGTGGTTGACAAATGGCCAAATACCAGTCAAATGACATGGCTAAGAGAATCAAAGACTGAGTGAAAATTGCAAGGCTATGAAAATAATATTGAAAAAAGCAGGCATGGACAGATATCACGCCATGTTCTTGTATGATAATATATAACATGTTAGGTATAATGTTGGTGGTAAATAATAGGTCTGCCAAAGCCAAGTGTTTAAGGAAAATGTACATGGGGACATGAAAAAGGTGGCTGATAGACACCAGCAAAATAATGAGAATATTTCCAAATAAAATGGCAATATAAACTAGAAGAACAAAACTGAACAGTAGAATGTTGATGGTGAATGTATTTTTAAAGCCAAGGAGTAGAAACTCTGTGACTTCGGTCTCGTTGAGCTTACACATTCTCGAAAGAAAGAGAAGATATTATTAAACCAAAAAAAGATGTCCAATCAAGACTTCATATCTGAAATGGCAATTAAATTACTGCAGTAGAAAAGTCATTCTCTGAAAAAACAGAAATTAACTAAGGTTGAAAAAATTGCCAGTCATTGCTGAAAGGATTGAGCTAGCGTTTGTCAAATTCTAAACCTTTATAATTTTTAGAAGGTTTCCATTCAGGTGCAGGTTTCTAAATATGAGATCCATACAAGGTAAGAAAAGCAGTGTATGCACCCTTTAAACCTGGTCAGCAGACTCAGAAGTGCCAACAATAAGGCTGGGGGGGGGGGCTGGATAACCCAGCTTCCTCACTATAAAATGGAGTCTAAGAGTGCATAGTGTCAGTGTGTTGAAGCTGCTGTAGGGAGAGCATAGAGTGATCTGACATACTGTATAGGCAAAGATTAGGATCGGTTAGCAAGCTATACTTTACTCCTGTGAAATACAGTGATGGGGTACATTGTCCTGTGTTCACCGGTCTTCAATTAACCCAAAAGGCATTATTAGGACTACTACCGGTGTCAGTAACAACTTTGTTACCTAGCACTTTGGCATCCCCTTTGCTGCCTTTTTTTGTTGCAAAAACAGTATGCACCAAAAACACCTCATGTTATATCACTCTCCTATAATAGTAAAAATAAAAAGTTAGCCATAGACTGGTTAGACCTGTTCTCACTGATGCCAAACTATCCTACTGCTGAACAGTTTTTAGACACCTGTATCTGAAGGTTAATGCTCTAATTTTTTTTGTAGGAAAACATCTGCCTATACCTTGCGGCTCAACCTTTCAGCCTGTTCTCACTGATGGACCTGCTGGTGGACAATTTTGAGCAAACTCTCACATACAGTGTGTAAAGATTTGCTAGAGGCAAGACAGTTTTGTATCAATGAGAAAAGTCACAAACACAGAGACACAAGACATAAGCAACTGTTTTCAACCCTGAGGTGTGATTTGATAGAAATTGGCCAGTGACAGGACAGCTTTGTATCACAGAGATCAATTGATACCTCCTGGTCAAAACAGGCCCAGTGCCTCTTGATTAAAACACATGTCACTGCTAGAACTAAACACTTTTTTAACTAATATGGTTCAAAAAATTATGGATTGGGGTCAGGGCCGGCCTTTGGGGTGTGCGAGCTGTGCGGCTGCACAGGGCGCCATGGCAACAAAGGCGGCTAAATTTCAGCCTTGATGAACATCGAGCACATGGAATTTTACATCACTAATGTTCACATGTACACTTTGCAAATCAGTAATTTCCTGACCGGCTCAGAATGTTAACCTGTCCTCCTCTAAGTTTGAATTAAGTGGATTACAGGAGGTTAATATCAAGACATGGTCATACTTATGCTAGATGTATTTAAATTAAACTAAAGCCCATCTTCAGGCAAACAAAAAAGTACCCTGGCAGTGGAGCTACCTCCGTACTGCAAGGGTTAAGTGCTTGTTTTTGTCTAGGGGCTGGAGTAAAGCGGATTTACTTACCTGTCCTCCCTCCCCCTGCGGACAGCTCTGTCCTCTACTCCTCCTCTGGTCCAGCTGGTAGAATGTCCCTCTGCGTTCTCAGGTCTAGCATGGGACATGATCACGTCAGTGATCCTTAGACTGTAAGAGCCCAGGGAAGAAGAGGCTGCAGGGACCAGAGTAGCAGCCCAGAGGGAGTCGTGGGAGTGGAAATCAGCTAAGTAAATCTGCTTTACTCTAGCTCTTAGACAAAAGCACTTCAGTGCAGGGGTAATCCCAGTGCAAGGGTATTTTTTTTTTTGTTCGGCTAGAGATGTGCTTTAAGGTCCTGCAAGAAAAAGCATTCCAGGTAGTAATTACATTTTTCATATGCACTGGAGTTTAGTGTGAAAGGGAAATAAAAAACTACATAGCCCATTCACACCTACACATGTGCCTTACACAGACGCTGCAATGCACATGGATCAATGAGGACCCAGCCTTTAAGTGTTTAGAATCAATGCATAACAACTAAATTATATTATATATCTGCTTGACTTTTAGCGTTGAGAGGATAATTGCCCCATACTTTAAACAACTGTGATTCTGCTGCCCTGCAAAATGTTATGCCCAACCCACAACCCTCCAACCCCCCAGTCATAACCAAACTGCCATTTTGTGAACTTAGTAAACTATATTAAACACATTGTGTAGTTTTTTAAATAACGAGTCAGTTGTGATCAAGTCTAAAATATAATGCTAAGAGGCTTATTGGTCCCTTAGTTTACAAAGCTCAAAAGCTCAAAATAAATTTAAAGACTTCTCAATGCATCCATTTATTGTTTCAGTCATAGACAGTATTGCTAGAAAGGACATAACTACTGCTGCACTCTCACTTTAAATAAACCATTGTTCTCTGGGAACTATTGGTTACTTTATATGTATTTACATAAGCTAAAAAACAAGTGAACCTCAAAAAATAAAAATACACTCATCCATTGTGTTTTCCTGATAGCTTGAACATGAACATAAAACATAATTGATCAATCCTTGTCATAAAAACTGACATGTAAACAATAATTACACTTACAATAATTATTTACTAGAGTTGCACAGATACCAAGTACAGTACTCGGTACAAGTACGAGTACATGTACCGATACTTCTGAGCCCCAAGACTACACTAGAGAAAAATTCAAAAATTAGGAGGCAGCTGTCATTTGTAAGGAGCATACGGAGCTCCTGGGATTTGTACATCTCAGTTTTAATGTATGATTTTGTTTTTATAAATATAAATAAAGGGATGCACAGATACCAGTTTTGCGAGTACGAGTACTGGTACTTGCCGAGTACTTACAAGTACGAGTACTGATACATTTTTGTTTATTGTCATGTGACAGTTTTTCTAAAACAGTACAGTCTAATGATTTCAGGGCTGTGGTGGAGTGCCAGAGCCAGGTCCCAGCTGCAACCGCTGCAACCCTGGTAGTTCTCATGAAAATGCCAAGTATCTGCACTGGTACTCGAAAAGTATCTGCGCATCCCTATTATTTACACTTACTGTTTACAGTTTATAGTTTTGTACTTTTGCGTTTAAGCTACAGACATTCAATATGCACCCAGTACCTGCAATAACGTATTCCTCAAATACCAATAATTTATGAAACACTTGAATTTTGTTTGAATCTTTCATTATGTCATAATGAAGCACCAAGGCAGAGTTCAGGACTTTATATACTCTTAGGTGGAACTAATTATTATAGACCCTATGTGTATTGACCCATAATAACTCCCTTAAGTGCAATTTAAATCAGAAAAATCAAAAATATCCCATTTAATGATGGCAGATAAACAATAACAACTAGTGTAATTAAAAGTGCATTAATAGTAAATATTACACATCTCCTATTCAATGTCCCGTGTGCCACAAGAGAATACAAGCAATTAGGCAAAGTAAATCTTATTCAAATGCTGTTTTAGCTTTGCAAGAAAAAATACTGACATGATGCTAGCAAGGGTATCAGATATCACCCTAGGCCACTTAAAGTGGACCTGTACCCCTTTTGATTAAAAATCACATCAGCATAAAGCTCATGCAGAGCTCATATCAGCATGCAGCTGATATGAAATCATGTTACATTCATTAGCTAAACAAACATATTTTTTGTTTTACTTACAATTTCTTTTTATTTCCATTTTATGGCTCACTTTGGCACAAATTATGTAATCATGCCCAAGCGTTGCATCCTGGGAAGGTTACATCAGCAGTGCATTGCTGGTAACTCTCATCTGTAATCTCATGGGATCTCAGGGAAGGGCATTTTCCTCTCCTGAGATGATGTGCATGGTCACATGTCCTAGTTACATGTGCCACATTTCCAGCATGTAAAAGGAGATGGAATAATCTGCCCTTATTAAAATGGCCACTGTGAGAAGAATGGAGAGGAAATAGAAATAAAGTATGCAAAGAATAAATAACCTGCAATCATCTATAAGTATCTGTTAGTAGATTGTCATTACTAAACATGTTTAAAGGTGTATCTGTTGTTATTTTGAAGATATGGGTAAAGTTCCTCTATGCCAGGCATTTGGGAAGAAGGGAAAATTGAAAGCTACTGTAGAATTTTTTTATATAACAGGTGTGCTTGTTAAGATGCGTTTGCAGAGATTTTATTAGGACAGTCCTTTGAAAGTGTTGTTAAAATGTCATTAGAATGTTTTGTTGTGCAGTCTTTAGACAAACAGCTTCCTAATATTCTACAAAACTTTGGATCAAGCTGATGAGGTGTTCCATAATAACAGAAATAAATGTGTCTTGTTACTAATGCAAATTCTTGAGTGAATGTGTAAACATGTAAAATTATATATTTATGGGAGGTCCTACATGGCAACTGTCTTACAGGCCTGCATTTCCCTGAACATGCTAGGTAGACATGTGCACCAGCAAAAAATTTGTTTCGTTTAGTTTCGTATTGAAAGCAAAAAAAAATAAATGTGTTTAGTTTTGTTTTGTTTTGATTCGGACTTTGCATTATTTAGTTTTTCGGATTCGGGTCCGAAATTAAATTCGTATCGGACGAAATTCCGTCCGGACTAGCGGTAGTCCGGACGAAATTCGTTTATGGACGAAATTCGTTATGGGACGAATTTCGTTGCAGCAAAATGATTAGGAAAAAAATGACATTTTTTTTTACAGTCTGCAGAAGATGAAAACAAAAAGCGTGAGGTTCCCCCCCAATTCATACCAGACCCTTTAGGTCTGGTAGGAATGTTAGGAGCCCCCCCCCCTTTTTTTTGTGTTATAACTGGGGGGGGGTCCCTCCTAACATTCCTACCAGAACAAAAGGATCTGGGAAAGGTTTGAATTGGGGGGGAACCTCACGCTTTTATTTTTTTTCATCTTCTGCAGTGTAAAAAAAAATTTCCTTTTTTTTTCTCCCTAATGTCATTTTGGTCCAATACCGAATTTTGGCCGGACTACCGCTAACGAATTTCGTTGCAGCAAAATGACATTAGGGAA